CAGTGTTCAAATCATGCATTTTCAGTTGATGGTCTAATCCCCCACTCCAGGCATGCGTTGGATCCTACAAAATAAAGTTTCAAGTTATTTAAAACTTACAGAGCTTTACAAAGTGTTTCAGAATTCCTGTTTCTGCAGCCAACTGTCCAGTTTACACTCAAGATGTACACTGGGCTCAAGCACTCACTGTAAACAAAAACAGCAGAAAAAATAAAGCAAGTGGTCAGAAAAACTACTATGTCAGTAAATTAAGGAAGCACTATTCACCACATAGCCTGAGAGTAAAGAGGCATTCCTACTTCCTAGTGGAAAAAGAAAAAAGTCTTCCCTTTAATGAGGCAGCCAAATTTTACTGTCTTGTTACAAATTTCAAATACAACTGTCCTATGTCCTGAAACTCTGCAAGATGACTCCACTAGACTCCACTTGAAAGGGGAGACCGAGTTTCCGACGTCTGCATGTCCCCAGAGCCAAAAAAAACGGTACCTGGCTCAAGGCAAGCGTTCAGGAAACGCCAAAGAGCTGTCCAAACAACTCCACCGACAGAAGCCTCTACCCAATACTCGAAAAGGGACACTATTCAGAGGAGAGGGCGGCGGCGGAGAGAGGACACCTACGTAGAACGCGCAGTCCAGGACGGCGCCGGTGTGCTGGTACTTGAGCCGCATGGAGTTGGCCGGCACATCGTAGAGGCGCACCGACGTGTCCCAGGAGGAGACCAGCAGGAACTGGGAGGTGTTGGGGCTGAACTTCACCGAGGAGATGCCGTCCTCGGGGGGCTGGTTCAGCTTGAACTCGTTAGAACCGGTCATCTACGGAACAAGCGCCCAGAGTCCCCAAGGGGCCGGGGGCTGGGCTGGCTGGCGGCCGACCAGCTGGGGGCCCCATCCCAGAGGGACCCAGACCACGTCGGCGACGAGGCCTCTGCGCCTGCGCACAGGCTGCGCGCCAGCCCCGTCGGGACTCTGCCCCAACCCCCGCCCCTCCTAAGCGCCCCAACCGGCCGGGCCGGCGCCGCCGCACCCCTAACCCCAGCCCCCAGCCCGGCCCGCCGCATCCCTCCCGGCCGCGGGCTCCTGCACTCGGCCCTCCCCGGGGCCTGCCGCCCCTATACTCCGATAATAAAAGAAAAGCGATGGGAGCGAGGCGGGTTCCCTGCAGGCGGCTCCGCCAGCTCTGGGCCCGGGGAGCCCCGAAGAGTGCTCCTCTGCGCCCCGATGCCTCTCCCCGCTACCTTGGACTCCCCTCAGAAGCAACTTTGCCGCCGCTCGCCGCCGCCGCCACCTCCTTGCTTCCCGTCAAGCACTCGCAGCCCGGGCGAAGAAGGCGGAGAGGAAGCTCCAGCGTATGCCTGCCATTGGCTGATTTCAAAAGCCAACGTCTCCTCCTAGGCAGCCGATTGGTCCGCTCGGAGGCCCGGCGTCGGTCAACGCAGTCATCCTGTTCCGGCTCAAAGGCAAACCGCGGGTTTTCCGATCACGTGGTCTCGTTTCACCACCAGGCGGAGGCGCCCGCGCTCCTGCTGGACGAGTGAAAACTACAATTCCCAAGGAGCATCGCGCCAAGGCTGCGCTCACGCCCTCCCCAGGCTTGTGCGGCACGCTGGAAGATGAAGTCTCCCTGGGGTCGAAGCCCTGCCTGTTCTCTGGATAGCAGGCGGGAGAGATGCTCTTTCCAGTTGGACCCGTGGCCCCTCCTCATCTCAGTTAGTCTCTCGGACACAACAACCCCATTTTGATCAATACATCTATGGAGCTAAATTATTCTCCCTTTCACTGGACGTGCAAATGCCTATGAAGTTAACCAAAAATTGAAGTGGAGAGGAAATATTTGCTCTAATCAAATGTATTATTTTGCTCTGGTTTTTTCTTATTTTCCTAGAGTTTCCACCGATGAACCAGGGGCTCATATTTCCCATTGTCTTAAAATCTCTTGATCTCACAGAAACTCATCCTTATTTATACTGTGCTTTATCTCTCCATTCTATCTTTTCGAAAACATTTATTGAGTGCTTTCTGCCAGGCCTGGAGAGAGACTCTGGGAAGATGCATTAATCAGACCACTCCCTGCTCTGGAGGAACTCCCTGTCCGGAAAAGTGGACAGACTAGAAAACAAATAATTACGATGTATTAAAGCTCAAAGGCTTCTTTTAGACATATTTTTAAGTAGGATACCAAAATGACAGTTACAAACTTCTCCCCCACCATGCCCCCACTCCACCAGCTCCTTAGAGTTGAGGCTCAGTTTGCTCCATTTTCTGTTTCTAGAATCCTCCAGAAATAGGAGAATCAAGAAGGTTGCTTCTGTAATGAGAAATGATTTGATCCCCATGGAGGAAAAGCAATACTTGATCTATAACTAGAATGCTGTGACTTAGTTACTCTTGACCAGCAAAAACCCACTAAAATTTTTCATTTTAATCCATGCTGTAACCTCTTTTTCACTGCCTTTTGTGAAAAAAAAACTCATTTTATTATGCGATTTCGTATGAAGTGGGAGGAAACTCGGGGTTAAAGTGTTTAACTTTTAAGGTACATTAACAGAGGAAAAAGTGTTGTTGGTCTTTATGCATTCACATACCCTGACTCAGGTACACTTCCTTTTATGATTCTTGACATAATAAACACACACACACAACAACCACCCTTCTGTTTGCTGTATCAATGATATTACTGCCCTCCCCCCTCACCAATCCTCATACTTGGTTCTCTGTCTTTTCTCTTTTGAAAAGTTAATGGCTAAGTTCAGAATTTTAAAATGCAGTGCCTTGCCTCCATTCTAACTTTGGCTAAATATTTTATCTCCAAATAATTTTATTTGGTTCCCTCTCCCAGTTGTTTATTTAATTCTATTAGTGTTTCGAGATTCTGAACATGAATTATCCACTAATAAAATCTAAGTGTATTTCATTATCCAGTGTGTGTATGATTCAGGCCCCTCTGGGCATGCAGTTGCAGCTGGACTCGATATGAGTTTTAAGAAACGTCAATCTTTTAAATCCAGTTTAGAGCCTGAAAGGAGGCTGATGATTTTGCTGATTATTCAAATGAATTGATAGTCTTGAGATAGGAAATCTGACAACAATGGAGTCTTGAACATTTTAAATCCAAATGCACAGTCATGTTTGTGTGTGTCTGGGTGTGTGTGTGCATTCGTTTGTGTTAATACTTAGTTACCTGCAAGAGAGGGGAGTTCCTAGAAACTAATGACACTGTTGGATCACTTTTGACTGCTAATTGCTGGATTGGTAAAAAGAGTGAAACATCCACTATATGACAAACTAGAAAAAGGTCATCCCTAAAATCTTAAGGGCAAAATACTCTGCCATTAAGTGCCTACAGTGGCTAGAAAAAAACCACTTCCTATAAGAGAAGTAAGCTGAAGGAGGCTATAGTGACCCTATACTGTTAAAACCATCATCTGTGGAAAAAAATGTAACCTATTGAAACGCTAACAAAAATGGTATAGATGGAATACTCCTATACAAGTAGTTCCTTAAAAGCAGTTTGGTTATTTCTGCATGCAATATTCAAATAGCAACTTTAGAGAAAAAGAAGAATTTAAAGTGGGTCACCTGGAAAGAGAGAAATTCATTGAAATAAAATATGTGTACCAAATAAGTCAGAAGAAAATGGATCCAGTGTCACTTTTGTTTTCTCTGAGTATCCAATACTTAGCCTAATTCTCAGCAAGTACCTGAGCCCAGTAAATATTTATTGAATTGAACTCAGTTGAAATGAAATAAATGCAATTGAACCAACTTAGTATTGGCAAATATGTTCTTGGGTAACATCCTTCTGACATCAGCTTGAAACAGACAATGATTTTTATTAAATTTAATGTGAGAAGAAAAGATGACCTCCAATGGACAATAGACCAGGCATTTTAGAAGACTGAAGGTCAATTGGCGGCTTACAGATATTCCGTATATTTTCACGAAATGCAGATAATTTCGATGCCTTTCTGCTCAAAGAGATAAGACTATCATGCAAACAGTTTCCCTTCTACAAGATGAGATCTGATCGCGCCGAAGACTCCTGGCACCTTCGCAACGGCTAAGCGGGGCCCCGGGGCCAGAGGCAGAACTAGGGAGCTCACCCCACGTGACACCAAACCACTGGCCTACTCCGGCTTCCTTTTCCGACGTTTTACAAGGAACAGGTGGCTGCGATCTAACCTTTCGAAAGTCTGCTATTTGCATGACCCTCGTGCGGCCATTCTGTCGGTGCCGCGCCCCTCCAGCCCCGGCGCGGCGGCAGGTGCTGGGGCACGCAAGTCCGTGGGCGCCCTGGCCGCGCGCCACGGTTCCATTCAGCGTGAGCGGCCACGTGCTTGGCAGCGATCCGGCTATTTAGTCACGCACAATACTATAAACAACTAGAAGAAAGTGAGAAGAGGCGCCTTTGCCTCTGGCGCTTTCTTTGCCTAGTCTCCAACCTCAGATCCCTCCTCAGCCGAAGTGCCGCTTCCGCGCCCCGTCCCCGCGCCGCACAACTGTCCTCTGACCCGGGAACCGTATGCAGCTGCAAGCCTGTCGCGCTAGTGGGGTACGAGCAAAGCGGGCTCTTTACCGGGTCCAGGCAGTGCCGTCCCACGTGCCCTGCGCCCTCGGAGAGAAGGCGAGTGTCAAGGGTTGGGCGACGTCGCACGGCGCCCTACTGCAACCAAGCCCAAGGCGCTCCCAGTGCTAGGAAGATGCTCATTCCCGGGAGGCAACTGTATCAGCAGCGAGGTCTGCCTCCTCGCCTTTGTCCCTCTCTGCGCGGACTCCGGAGCTGCATTTCGGCTGGGGCGCGCCTCGGCCCGCTTCAACACTACTAGAGAGTGGATGGAGGCGCAGCGCCAAGGTCCCGAGTTTTGACCCCTGACCCCGGCCCCACCCTCCACGTGGGGCGAGCCAGACCTCAGTGACTCACGCTGGCAATCCCTCCGCCGAAAAGCCAGAAAACCTTCCGCGCTCTAGCACCCCAGGCAACCAATCACCAAAGTTAGCAACGATGCTTAAAATGTTTTATTTTTTCTCTTTAAAAATATTTACAGATCTAAAATCTCCCCCTTTCGTCCCTACCCATCCTCGGGACGAGAGAAACGAAAACAGGTGTTGAGATAATTGCCTAAAGCCCCCGAGGGCTAGCGTGGCCGGCCGTGTGTGCATGTACATATATACAGGTGTATATATGGGGAGAGGAGTGTACTTGGTTTTGTTGGTGTTTTTCTGGATTTTTTCCTACCAATCAAGGTCGATCTGGCCGAAACTCCCTTTCCCACCACCACCACCCGAGAACATCCCCTCCGAATGGTTTTCAAAGCGTATTGGTTTGCTTTGGGTAGAAAGCAGGCGATCTGGCTTGAGGAATGCCGTTAAATACCCGAAACAATCAAAACAAAAAGTAGGGCAGAGGCCATAAATAAGAGATAATGAATACACATGGTGTATTTCTTAATAGTTTCTGGAAACACGCTGCGTTGCTCCGGAGCCCTGCCAAGGGGCAGCCTGCGCCAGGCTTGCAGGCAGCCAGAGACGGGCCAGGGCGGCCGGGGAGCAGGCGGGCCGGCGGGCCGTCAGTAGTCGAGCTTGTTGTAGAGGTTGTAGAGAGGTAAGGCCGAGAGGTTGCTGCCCGGGTAGTAGAGCGGCGCGGGGAAGGCGAGCGAGCGCGGCACCGGCACGCGCAGCAGCGAGCTGTCCCGGAACACCAGTGGCATTCCCACCAGAGTCTGCGCCGACGCGTGCGCCATGTTGGCCGCCTCCAGCTCTGCCGAGAGCTGCCGCTTCCACTTGTTGCGGCGATTCTGGAACCAAGTCTTGACCTGGGTCTCGGTGAGCTGCAGGCTGGAGGCGAGGCAGGCGCGCTCCGAGCTGCTCAGGTAGCGCTTCATGTCGAAGGTGGACTCGAGCTGGTACACCTGGCTGCGCGAGAAGACCGTGCGCGTCTTCTTCTTAGCGGTGCCTGCCTGCCGCTCGGCTCCGCCGTCCCGCGGCCGCTCGGGCCCCGGCGACGGCGAGCCCGCGGGCAGGAGCCTCTCTTTCTCTTCCTTAAAGTCCGGGTGCGAAGGAGAGAGGAAAGGCGTGCGCTCCGAGCTCGCCGGTCCCGCACTTCCGCTGTTCTTGGGAGTACCTGGAGAAGGAAAACAGACGGGAAGGCCATGGAGTTGGGAGCCTCAGAGACCCCCAGCTCTGGCGGGGACCGGGGGCTTGGTAGGCGGCTGCAGCCTTAGTCCCATCTTCCTTGGTCCCAACCCCTTCCTCTTCTGTCTCTCGCGGGCACCCAAAGCCCAGCAACCCGGCCTTTAGAAAGCAACAGGAGAGGGACCCAGCCACTTGAGTCTGGGGTCTCTGTGCTCCCAGCTTCGTGAAAGGACTTGTGGCAACAGGGGGAGGAGGTCTGGAGGGAGAACATTAGCATCATTTTGAAAGGTGATTTTGCCTTGTAATAACTGAGCTGGAAGAGTTCCCCGAGCTTTATAGGGTGGCATCATTTCACAGGCCGTTTGTTCGGAAATCACGCTAAGGACTAATGCGGGGCTCCCCTTCGTCAGATGTTGTAAAGAGGAACCATCTCTGAAAGGCACCATTGTCAATCATCTTGGAGTGCTAATCATTCCGAGGAGGAGGAGAGACACAGAGAGAGAGGAGAGAACAGACGCTGAAAGAGATTGCGGTAGAGACAGACGGACCGCTCAGACCCGACTTCCAGACGTGGTGTTCGGAAAGTAGCCGATGTGCAAAGGGGATAATGAGGGCAGAGCCGCGTGTGCGGCCGGCCCTGTGCCCAGCCCCCCGTGGTGCACTCTCCCTCCAACCCTACCTTCCCCAAGACCGCGGCGCGCGAGGTCTGTGTTCCCCGTCTCCTCTCGAACGCCCGCAGGGCCGAGCAGGCAGCGCCGCGCGCGCGTCCCCTCCCCTCGGCCCCGGGCGGCCGCGGCTCTGGCCAGAGGGAGCCCGGCGCGAGATCCCCGACACAGCTTCCCTCCCCTGAGAGCTTGCTCTCGGCCGGCGGGGCGGCGTGCGATCCTTACCCAGGCAAGGAAAGGGGATGGGGGGATGGTGCTTGGGGCCCGGCTCCTTGGGGCCGTGCGGGTCTGGGCAGAAGCAGGCGGGTGCCTTCCAGCCGTCGTCCGGCTCCTCCTCCTCCGAGGACACCGACAGGCTGCGCTTCCTGGAGGGCCACCCGGCGGGCTCCCGTGGCGCCTCCGAGGGGCCCCCGCCCAGGATGGACTGAATGGTGAAGCTGGAGACGCCGCCGGCCGCCGGACACCCCTTGCCCGCATCTTCCTTGCTGCCCATCCTGGGTTCATAAGAAATCGGAGGAAACCAAGAACTCCCTTTAGAGACGATCTGAGTGGAACGTGGTGCAGGCAGGAAGGCGGGGGGAGGGGCGGGGAGGGGAGCCACGGGGAGGGGGTGACGAAGCTGGTGAGGCGTCCCCTCCGCGCGGGGGACACGCGGGCTCGGGACGGCTGCGCGGGGGCCCCTGCCCGCCCAGCTCTGGGTGCGCCCGCCCAGTCCCGGCGCGAATGCCCCTTCCTTGCCGGCCAGCTCGCCCGGTCTCCGGCTGCGCGGAGGTGGCGCGGCCTCATTTGCATAGAGGTTACCCGAACGCGGCCAATCGCAGCGCCGCCGAGCGGCCCCGGAAATTTTCAAAAAGCCCAGGGCCGGCTCGCAGCGCCTGTGAGCCCCGGGGCGCGCAGAGCCCTGCGGGCATCTGATGTGTCCAAGCGAGGAAGCTAGGACCAAAAACAGCACAGATTCCAGCCCGGGTTCCAGGCCTCTGTGGCGGCTCTGACCGCTCGGACCCCGGCCGGCTCCAGGGCTAGGGACTGCGCGGGGCTCCGAGCTGGAAAAGTCCGACGCCAGCCTCAGGCGACCGCTCCTCGCATCCTTGGAGGGGCTCTCACAGGCTGCTCCACGACCCTCCCTCAGCCTCCCACCCCTTCTCGTCCGGGCGGGCAAGCAGGGCTGGCACCACGCCCCCCCCTCCCCCCCCCCACCACCATTGCGCCCCGTGCGGGAGGAGGAGGATTTAGGAGCACGCACCTCTGAACTATTCTCAGTGCTATTCCTGGGAGCTTAGCTGGGAGGCCCAGGAGCAGACAACTTCCGCCCTTCCTCGCCTACAGACCCCACCCCTGTCACAGGCCCAGAGGGGCTGCCTGATCTTGGAGGGTAAAGGGGAAGCCCTAGAGCTTGTTTCAAGAGATCCTGGTTCAAGCCCAGCACCGCCGTTCACACGCTGCATGAACTCGGACAATTCCAGTCCCTATCGGAGCCTCACTGCCCTCCTAGGCGAAATAAACTTCTCGTTAGCGTCTGCCCCTTCTCCTGTTTTGAAGGTCGCTTTAGGCAGGAACGGAAGAGCCCCCGAAAACCTAGCAGCACTAGGAGCTCACAGTAGGTCCTCTGTAAACCTTCGCTGAATAGGCCATGGCCCGCCCTCCTGTTTTGTAATTCTCCTTATTTGGCAAATTTTGAGTGGTCACGAAATTGCTGCGGAAATAAAAGGGCTTTGCTCCTGGGAACGGGAGACGGAGGTGAGAACGGGGACAAGGTTTTAGGATCGGGCAAAGTCGAGTCAAATCTCGGCTGGGTGAGCTTGGACAGGACACTTAAACTTTCCCAGCCTCGGTCTCCTCATTCCTAAAATTAGGGTAAGCAATGCCTACCCGCAGAAGCCGTGTAGAGTCAAAGTGCCCAACTCCGACCCTGGCACACGGTAGGCGCTCAGTAAACTCTGGTTCCTCCCTTGTCCTCGCGGCTCCTTCTGAGTCCTGGCTCTCGCCCCTTTAAATCCCAGATCAGCTGTTACCGGATCTAGAATCAGCCTGGAGCAGACTAAACGGCTCGGGGACACAGTTGTCTACACAAGCTTCGAGGAAACGAAGGTGAGGCAAGGCCCCAAGGCGCTCAGGCAACCCCACCCCCTGGGTCCGGGACCGCTCCGTCAAAAGATCCCGGAAGCCCTGCCCCTAGGGTCCCCCCCCAAGTGCAGCCAAGGGTGAGAGGAGACTCTGGAATCAGTCCTCACAGATGTCCAGACGCTGCACCATGACGATGCAGTTCCCTCCTCGCCCGCGCCGCGCCCGGGTTATTGAGTAAAGCGCTTATAATATCATTAGCCGCGGTGAGTTACCGACTGCAGCTCTACCCGTGGCAGAACCTCTCCCTACTTAACTCCTCGAAGGGCTCGTTAATGGGCTAATTGATTAGGAGTCGGCGGCGCAGCCGGGGCTGGGGCAGGCGAAGGGCGGGGGCCAGGGGCTGTGCGCCACGGCCCGGGAGGCCGGCGAGGGGCAGGTGCCGGCCTCCATCACCGAATTAACCTCTTCAGGGCTCGGCGGCGGGGTCGAGACACATTACAAATGGTCAGCTTTAATCATGGTGTCAGCTCATTAACCCGGAAGGACCCGGCGCTGAAATACAATTTGTGCGTCCTCCTCTGCGCGGCCGCGGCACAGACTCCCGTGCCACGTAGCAGCCGGTCCCGCGCGCTCCCGCACGGTCCGGGGGTAGAAGGAAGGTTGCTGGAAAGGAACACCCGACTCTCTCACCGGCCTGCGGCCTCTCCGCCTACCGCAAGCACCCTGACCGGGCGCTGTCTCCCGGACCGTGGCCAGGTGGCCCTGCGGAAAATTGGCCAACCCGGCAAGCAGAGCCCGCCACTCGTTGGGGAAGAAAGAGGAGCTGGGGGAGAGGGGTTGCACACTTCTGAGCTAGTGAATACTTGGTGCCAGCAACCAGGAACACGCTGGGAGCATCCCATCATTCTTCAGTTTAATCCTCACAGCAAACCTGCGGTGTAGATCTTTACCTCCAGTGTACAGGCGGGGAAACTGAGGCTCAAGACAAAAAAAAAGTGACTAGCCCAAGCAGAGTAAGCTATATTGAAACTCAAGGTCGTTCCACTGCCAAAATCAGGCCCTTGGGAGGGGCGAGGGTCAGAGCAGGCATGGGTACTGAGCTTGGGGAATGGCTGCAGGGAAGACGGTGAGGACCCTCCCCCCATCTCAGGACGGCCGGGGCGGATGTGAGAGTGCGGTGAGGGGCGAACAGGGTTGGTCTCTGCCAGGGCAGGGACGGTGGGGGCGGCGGCAGGGCCTTTGGGGTGGGCCTTGGAGAAGCAGCTCCCAGGCCCCAGAGCGGCGAGGAACTGGGGGGCGGACCCGTGCAGCCTGGCATGAGGATTCTAAGCTAGGAAACTATGCAGCTTCGAGACCCCACAACTTTCCCCCGACTCTGCCCCGAGCTAGTTTGGGAAGTCAAAAGGAGCCATCCGCCTCGTACTCCGCCTGCTCGCCGCACCCCCTCACACTGACCGTCTAGTCTACTCAGAGGTGTGCTACAACCGAGTCCTGTGCAGCATCTTCCTCTCCCACACCCTGCACATTGTCAGACGCGCACGCTTTAAGCCGCGTGCACTACACTTGCATAAACACTTACGCACTCACACACATTCAGTCAGAAAATGTCCACTGAGCTCCGACTAGTGTGCGCGTCACACACACACACTGTACACTCAACTAGGGAAGTGATGTTGGTGGGCGCAGGGCGGAGGCAGGGAGGTGGTGGCGGAGACGGGGAGACTCCTGGCTCTGCAGCCCGATGGACTCTCCCCCAGGCTGTCCCCCGCTCTCCTCAACTGGTCACCTGCGGGGTCTGCCGCCCCTGGTGCACCGACAGCAATTACACCGCTGGGGCCAGAGGGCCAAGAAACGATCTTCCTGCTGTCCCTTTGGGACATCTGAGAGTCACCAAGACCTCATCGAGAGCGCAGAGGCCCAGACGCCCTCTTCTGGGCCCAGTGCAGCTGCAAAACACACTCCCAGGAACCCTCAGCTCCAGGAAGCACCACCCGAGACACCCGGTCTCTCTCCCCTCAAGTGCGGCAATCCTTCAACTCAGGACCACCTCCCGCCCCACCCTCCCAGTCTCGAGATAGCTCCGCCCCTCCCTACTCCATTCAGGTTAACAGCCACTACCCTGGAGAATGGCCTCTCCTCATTTTGAGGATGTCTTCCCCCACTAGGAATTAGTCATAACCTGGTTCCAAAGAATGATAAACTTTCCCAGACTGAAAGGACGCTTAAAGTTTAGGTCTCGAGATGATGCCACTGCTCAATATTAAAGCGGCCCAGAGCAAACTTGCGAGGAGCCTAATAAAAATTGATCCTCTCTGCTCTGCGGCAGTTGCGAAATAGGCTGGCTGAGCCGGGTAATAGCGGAAGAAGGCTCCCTCCGAAATGACAGATGAAGTCATAAACAAGTTTGATCTTGGAATCAAGCTTCGATAAATATTAAACACAGTCTGCACCCCCCCTTTACGCGAGTGGATTATGATATATGGCGCGTCCAAACTTTAAAATAAGGAAATACCAGAGAAAATGATCTCAATAAATTTTCTAAGTATAAACGTTGATTATGTTTCGATTTTCATTCAAGGGCCTCTGCTGTTCGTTCTTTGGTGCAAATGACATCTCGCAATAGGCTTTTGGGGAAAAGGGCTCCCTATTTGAAAAAGAGAGCCCCAGAGGTGTACAATTTATGTAATCTGCGGCTGGAAAATGAATTGTGTAATTTATTGGAAAACAGAAAGTCATGAAGATTGGATCAGCATAGCCGAGTCCCGACAACCCCCCACCCCCCATCCATCAAGTTCCAATTAACAGCCTAACCAGAGAGCTTTAATGGGTTTCCAATCTAGTGGCCTGATAGACTCATCAATTCCTCTGGGAGAAATTAAGAAAATCGACCGCCCCTTGGCGACGCAGTGTCATTCCTTTCTGCAACTATATGTCAAATTAAAAACACAATTAAAATTTAAACTGTTTCAATCAAAGGGTGCCCTGCAACCTATGTTTCACTTAATAGAACTTTGATGAAAATCTGATGCGTGCACTCCATCACCAAGGGGGTCCAGGGCGGCGAGAGAGCTCACGAAAGAAGGGGATTCTTTCTATTCCTTTAAAACATTAGCGCTTGGGTGAGGCACACCAGGTGACCCCACCTCGCCTCTCCTGACTAAGCGATGGGCGCAGTGAGCTCTCCGCGCTCGCTCCCTCGCTCACTTTGCAGCTCTCCCCCAGCTCTTTTTCCTCTCCGTCCACTGCAACCAGAAGGGATCCTTTTGGAACCCCGGCGACCCAGATTTTGGGCAGTTTCGCCCCAGAGACGCATCACCTGGAGCAGGAAGGAGCCAAGGAAGAGACCTGGGCGAATATAACCAGTGTGCACCGTCTGGGAACTCCCGAAGGAGGCAGACAGCCTCCGGCTATCCCTTGCTCACGTCTCCGAAACTGCCCCGACACTCGAATGAAGTTCTACGGGACCCTGAAGGCAGAAGAATGGGAAGAAATCCAGGCGGATAAATGGACCCCCGTAA